GATGAGGGAATGTGTGTGTCCATTCTCACTATAACTACCATGCAACTGGGAAAAACTCAACTTAAGCTTCAACTCAGCTACTGAGTGATCCAAGCCCAAACAACTTGGGGTTTAAGCTTGGTATAAACATAATATGTTCAAGATCAGTGATCTCAAACCTACCTTACAGTATTCCCCCTTCCCAAGTCATTCACTTGTGAATGACAAAATTAGGAGGTGCATTGGGGTTGAAGTGAAGTGAGTGTTTGAGTTAATCATGGTTGTGATAAAATGTGCGAGAGATGCTAACTGTGGTCAAGGTAAAAATTCATGACAAGTGTCATGTGTTGTGGTCGTAGCTAAGATACAATTCATGACACGTAGTCATGTGTTTTTTTTTTGTTGTAATTGAGGTAAAAATTCTTGGCGTGTAGTCATTTGTTTTTTGGGCCATAGCTAAGGTAAAAATTTAGGACATGTAGTCATTTGTTTTTTGGCCGTAGTTGAGATTAAAAGTCGTGAGATAATATGGCTGTAGTAAAATGTATATTTTGGAGTGGTTAAAAGAACCTGAGTTTGGCTTAACGGGGCCTAATTAATAAGTTTGGGGAGAGGTTATTATGCTAGCTGATAGCTATCATCGGAGAGTGCATTGTAATAAATACAAGTTGCAGAAAATAACAGTCGAATTTGAAAGAACACAATCTCATCCATTAGATAAGTTTAATCGTGGCTGTTGAGACCTATGAGCTACTAGTATATATGGTCATACTGTGTAAATTTTTTGTTAGTATGTTGTATTATTACTGAGGTGTTGCCAAAATTTAACTAAAGCTACCGTAGTTACCTAGCTTCCTTGTTCTCGTGCTTTAACTTCAAGTTACTTCACAAGTACTTCATAAGTACTTTAGCTCAGCCTAACCAAGATCAACATATGAATTCTTCTACTTCTACTTTTGATTTTAATGAAGAGTCAGAGTTGCCTCTTACTCTTTTAGACTTAGATTTAAATCCTCTTAGAGTGATTAGGGTTAGAAGTGAGAGTGAAATAGACCGTGAGCTAGAATTTGCTAAACATCCTAACTATATCCCACCACCAACTCCATGCAGCGAAAGCTATGAAACAGAGGAAATGTCTTTCAAAGAAATGTTAACTATAGGAGAAGGTAAAGGTAGAGTCCCCTAAGACAGAAAGGAGTAAGGAAGAGGCAAATGAGGAGGTGAGCATCCCCTCCACCATTCTTGAGGTTGATGATGATAGGGATTGTTGTTTTGATGAATCGAAAGAAGTTGTCTCTAAGGTGATAAGGTCTAAGGCCTCTATGAAGAACAAGAATAACCTCATGCATTTGGTGGATAACTATGGGATTTTAGCCCATGTGTCGCTGAGGTTGGCAAGAAAAGAGGAAAGAGCCTCCTCAACGTTGCAAGATCATTGGATGCCAATGTACACAAACTACTTGGTTATTAGTCTCTGATTTCCCATTCTAGAGTTGTTGGGATGGCTGTTGATGGACTACAACATAGGTCTGACATAGCTTGCTCCCAACGTAGTGTGAATAGAGATAGGTTTTTGGTATATTGTTGGGCTTAGGGGGTTGCCTTCCCAACTGCAAATGTTTTAAATATTTTTATGTGATAAAAACTATGAGTAAAAAGAGAAAGGGTGTATTACTTTACAACTCATGTATTCAATAAGGAGAACTAAGGACTATTTAGCTCAAGTCCTTCCTCCATCAAGGGATGGAAGGATAAGTTCTTTTTTTGTGGATGACATGGAGTGGGATAAAACAAAGGCAAAGGTGGAGGCCTTAAGTAAATGGAAGTTAAAAAGGGCAAATCCAAACATATATAGCTTAACCGTAGCTGAGTGGGAAGATGTACAAATGTTAATAAGGGGGGATAGGGATGTGTTGGATATCTTCCACTTTAGGAGTTTGAAGATGTTAAATGCCTCCGAGATATATGGGCCAAGTTCACACAATGAAGGCATGGTTTAAATTCTTTTATTTTACTTGAACTAATGTTTTGATCAAAATTTTAACTTTTATTTATTTTGTAGACAAGATGAACTACTTAATGGCCACCACTGGAAATGTTGTAATCACAAAGAAGAAGTCAAAATGGCCTACTACTGAAGAGGTTGAAAAATGAATTGGTGACTAGAGTCCTGCACCTTAAGCCACCATCCGAGCTCTAAATGTTGGAGAGAAAGATGTTCAAGCCAGCAAAGCAACGGTTGAGCTCGTCAAGAAGGGGGCTAAGGACGAACTAGTGGGAGTAAAAAGGAGGAAGGTGGAGGAGCAACAACAGTAAAAGGAAAAGGTGATTGAGTGAGTCCCTCGACCTCTATCGGTTGAGATTGACCCAACCATCCAAGAGGTTGGGGTTGTAACCCATGGATAAGGGACAAGTCGTGTTCCCCTTCCATATTAACAGTCAAGCTTCTACAAATCCACTAATAGGACTGCTAAGAAAAGGTTCATCAATTCCACCTTACTTGAGGATCGACAATGGGCAAGGGATGAGGTGATACCTTGATGCGCTAAAATCATCCTAGCAAGTGTACTAGTCGCTCCAAGTAATATAATGATAAGTAGAGTGTCGAACTCATGAGGATTGTGATTAACTAATTACCAAAATAATTAATCCAAATTTATTTGAACAATCAAAAATGAGTAAACTTTAATTAAAATTAATAAAAAAATAACAATTAAAATAAAATTAATTAAGATACGAGGTACTAAGGCATCGACTTCACCATAATCAATTAATATAGATTTTCAATTATTATATTTCAAGATATTACTATTCATGTGATAGTGAAATTCCTATCCTATTCGACATACTTTCTCAAGTTATACCATACTCATCTTAATCTATTAACCCACTATATCTCTATGTGAATTTAAATAGATAAAGATGCATTATGTTCTATGAAATTTCCTAGTTTACATAGAAAATTAAGTCCACTTATCACTAATGCTGCACGAATACGTTGGTCCATCTCTAGCTTTTATTCAATTCATAGTATATATTATTAGAAGCTATTGCATAAAATCTCCTCTTGGTCTCAATTATGCTCTCCAAATCAATTTTTAATGGCGATCAAGCATTAAGAAGCATTAAGAACAATAATATATACTCATCATGGAATAGCAATTTCAAAAGTGTAGAAATCATAAAAATCCATATTGAATTGATTAGGCTACATCTTAACCTTAGTTGACTAAATCAGTTCATAATAAAAATAATAAAACCAGAAATCATAGTTATGAACATTCAAATATCAAACAATAGATAAAAATCAAAGGAAAAACAAAACCCAATTTGAGGAAATTGAATTCCTTGATCTTCTATTGTTAATGGAACCTCTATCTTGATCTTCAATAATGTCCAAAAGAGGGCTACCACCAGCCTTCACTAAGCTCTCCTAATTCTAAATTTGAATGGATATTTATGGGATTTTAGAAACCCTAGTTGAAATAGAAGTAGGACTTGAAACAAAATAGAAAACTTGAATTTTGAATGCTAACAACGTGGTCTTGACACCGCGAATTACCTGTCGACACAAAACAGGAAACAGAAAGTCTGATTCTAGATGCTTAACGCATGATGTCGACACCCCAATTATGTGGCGACACTACACCAGTGTCGAGTTTCTGGTCTCTTTTTGCAATTTCTTCAATGGTAAAATAATAGTCATAGTCCCTGACTTCTGAATTCTACACAAGTTGATCCTCAAGTTTTTGATCTCTGTAATTTACTCATAAAAATTATGATTTCTTCCAATTAAATCCTTTCCTACACAAAAAATAAAAATCATGTAAAATTAAATAAAATCTCATAAAACTTATCCAAATATCAATAGTATCAAGGCAACAATTTCACATTAATATGTATACAAATTCAACTCATCAAATTCCCCCAAACTTAAGTTTTACTCGTCCTCGAGTAAAATAAAAAGAATATAAACAAAAAGAAAATAAAACCTAACTCATTTTTATAGGAATCACGATTGCACTTAACGTGTGCACCAAGCCTTTAAAACCCTAAGTCACCCTAGTGGACGAGTTGTGTCTCGTGAAGGTTTGCAATGGATCTACCCACAAAATCCCAATGCAAGAATGTAACTACATGATATGCATGCAAAGAAAATTTAGAAATTAAAGTTCAATTAGAGGCAAAGTCTCAAATATTCAAGAGTTTTCATATACTCACTTAAAGTCAAATACTCCATCCTATTCTTCACACCACTTATCAAAAGATTTAGCTCATGAGCACTTAGTGTGTGTGGAAATTCATAGTAAGAAGTCTCAAGTTTAGACCTTCACACCTTAGCACTTATTATTATTATTATTTTTTTCTCCCTCTTTCTTTTTTTGTATATGTCGAGTTTCCTTAGGCTTTCTAAGTTACCCATGTAACGATTTTTTTGTCAATGACTCCCAAACCAATTGGCTTTAGGGCATTAGGTGAAGAGACGCCCCTAAGAACATACTTACGCAAGCAACAAAGGCCACAAAACATTCAACTTCTCTTTCTTTCTTTTTTTTTTTTTTTTATATGTCGAGTTTCCTTAGGCTTTCTAAGCTACCCATGTAACGAGTTTTTTGTCAATGACTCCCAAACCAATTGGCTTTAGGGCATTAGGTGTAGAGACGCCCCTAAGAACATACTTACGCAAGCAACAAAGGCCACAAAACATTCAACTTCTCTTTCTTTTTTTTGTTCTTCTTTTTTTTCTAGCCAAACAACATATTCTTCCCTAAGTTATCACTTGTCTTTTGACGCAAATACTAACATTTGTGATGAAAGCACCCGATTACTCAACAAGTCATAAACTCAAAGTACTTTGCATACTCATATTTCAAGTCGCTATTTGACATGAAAGTTGACATGGGTCTCATGC